CTACTTTGAGGATTGGGAGATCCTGGAGTTCCAGCTGTTCAAGAATGTCATTGCCACATGTCTGGAAATTCTGTTGGACTATGGTATGGGGCAGAATGACAATACCGCTACAAGAATTGAGGGAATAATGTTTTTCAATAGTGATAGGAAAAGTATCGATATGTGAAAGGAGAGAAATATGAGCTTGGGTAGCATTCTGGACAGTGATGATGCGCATACCACTCTTGAGAGCATGAAAGGAAATATCTCTACCAACATGGTGTAGGAGCGCTTTGCCAATACTGTGGTCGGAAAGATAGGCAATAGAAGAAGTCAGTCGTAAAGTAAAGAATTTAGTCCATTGTGCAGTCCGAAACTGAGCGTGGAGATGGAGTGCATGAAGTATTGGTCTTTTCCGAGTAGAATGGGAAGGTAACAAAGACCATCAGGAAATTGTCGTTGGCGTTCAGAAGTGGGACCAGAGTTGGTCTGACGTGGAACGGGCTGGCGATTTGAAAATTGCAGCACCGTAGAGGGAGAGGCCAGAAGTATAGTCAAAGGAGGACGGAGGTCAGATAAATCAAAGGAGTCAGTCGAGACCCTGGTACCTGAAGCTGGTGATGACACAGCAGTAGCAAGAGGTACAGGGGCATCAGGAGTGTCTAAAGAGTGGTCAAAAAATTAGGCAGGGTCAGAACGTGGTGTGGTACCAGTAAGGGGCCCGGGGGTAGCAGGTTCATGGATTAGGGCTTCCATGGCTAGGTTACTTCTTTCTTGTTTTTAAGAAAGAAAAATAAAAAATAAAAGGGGGGGGGATCGGGGAGGAATAGTTCCTAGGAGAAATTAAAGGGCCGAAAATCACCCTCCGCGCCCAAGAGGACCTCAACACCGCAAGTAGTGCAGATGCAGCATGGAACCCGTACCATACCCTACCCTTCATGCCAGTAAACCAGCAATCTGGGAGAGGAACCTCACATCTGCCGAGCTACCTCGGTGGACAAAAGAGAGGGTGGCCGGATATCCACCACAAAGCATACCTCCTTTGGCCACCACCCCCGGAATCTGAAAGGCGGCCTCCAGAGATTCACCCGTTGCCTGAAAGACACCCAAAGCCACCCCCAGAAGACTGGAGAGGGAACGGGATATCCCCAGGCGATCCAGATTCCACGGCAAACTGCGCCATCTCCAAGAACCTCAACGGAATGGGATTGGTCCCGGTACCCTTCCCCCTACCTAGGAACCAGTAGGCCTGTGGGAAGAATCCCAAAGGCCAAAAAGAGGGAGGGATGGGAGGAGGAAAGGAAAAAAGGGAGGATGGGATAGGGGAGGGGGGAAATTATGTTCGGTCTGAGGAAGGAGACCAACAGGTCTAATTCCTCAGACCAAGAGCCTCTTCACCACGCCAAGGAGCCCCCCTTGAAGAGGCCAGCAGTAACAGCCTGGGTGATCAGACCCTGATCCACCATGAGGCCTGGTCTCAGATCGAGTCGTGTGACTGGACCTGGAGAGGGTTTCAGGGGTCATAGTCTGCAGCAGAGTGCTGTTGGGTATGTGTATCGTATCTCAAATTTTTCATTGCAACTAATTTCTTTATCACAATTCAAGACACTCATAACTCAAGGAACCACTGAAGTTATAATTTATTTACCCCATCAGGTACATTCCTTGATGCCAGTGAGGAACTCATGATCTAAAGTTTGACCTGTGCTTCCCTTCCCTAAATAAAGCCTGAATGCCTTTATTTCCCCAGGTGCTACATGACCCCCATGGGTTAAGCACTTCCCCCAAGAATGTAATAATAATTGTAAATATATTTTCATCTCTTCATAGGTATGGTTGTGATGCTTAACTGCGCCCGGCTGAATCCTCAGTTTGTTGCTGACCATCCATTCCTGTTCTTTATTAGAGACCAAAGAACAGGATTTGCCTTATTTGCTGGTAGATTTGTTATACCGTAATCCACCTCTGCTCAAGATGAAGATTCATTGTTCACATTGTACTATTTTGTTACATTTACTTTCAATATCCTCTTCAAGGGGGGCTCCTTGGCGTGGTGAAGAGGCTCTTGGTCTGAGGAATTAGACCTGTCGGTCTCCTTCCTCAGACCGAACCTAATTACCCCCCAATCCCCCCTTTCCCTATCCCATCCTCCCTTTTCCTTTCCTCCTCCTCCCCACCCCTCCCTTTTGCCCTTTGGGATTTTTCCCACAAGCACACTAGTTCGTAGGTAGGGGGAAGGGTACCAGGGTCCATCCCATTCCGTTGAGGTACTTGGCGGTGGCGTAGTTTGCTGTGAGATCTAGATCGCCTGGGGATGTCCCGATCCCTCTCTGGTATCCCAGAGGGTGGCTTTGGGTGTCTTTCGGGCAACGAGTGTATCTCTGGAAGCCACCTTTCGGATTCCGGGGGTGGTGGCTGAAGGAGGTATGCTTTGTGGCGGATATCCGGCCGCCCTCTCTTTTGTCCACCGAGGTAGCTCGGCAGATGTGAGGTTGCTATCCCGGATTGCTGGTTTACTGGCATGAAGGGTAGGGTATAGGACGGGTTCCGTGCTGCATCTGCGCTACTTGCGGTGCTGAGGTCCTCTTGGGCGCGGAGGGAGATTTCTGGCCCTTTCATTCCTCCTAGGAACTATCCCTCCCTGGTCTCCCCCCCCTTTTTTTTTTTTTCTTAAAAACAAAAAGAAAGAAGTAACCTAACCATGGAGTACCTGATCCATGACCCTGCTACCCCAGGGCCCCTTAATGTTACCGCACCCCGTTCTGACCTCGCCTCGTCTTTTGGCCACTCTTCGGACATTCCTAAAGCCCCTGTACCTCTTGCTGGTGCTGTTTCCTCACCCGCTTCAGGTACTGGGGCTTCCACTGACTCCTTTGATTTGGAAACACGAGAATAAGAAACACGGGGCAGTCTCCCTTGGAGGCGGAGATGAGAAACTGCCATAGCATAAGGGAGACCTTCTGCCTCTTTGAGACAATGGATTTCATGCTCATTTAAGTAGACCTGGCAACGGCAAGAGTACGAAGGGTGAGCCTCATGACAATTAAGGCAAGAGGGAGGTTGACTGCAAGACGTATTAGAGTGGTCATCGGCACCACAGACTGGGCATTCAGGTATAGACCTGCAATATTTTGCTGGGTGACCAAATCGCCAACAATTTCTACACTGTTGTGGTGTCGGGGTCACCTTTCGAACTTGTAACTGATGTCCTGCTACATAAACACAGGATGGGAGTTCACGGCTGTCGAAAGTTAATCGAGCCACATTGCAATGGTATCGCCTCTGCCCGCAGGCAGGAAGGACACAAGTGTCTACCTTGAGGATTGGGAGATCTTGGAGTTCCAGCTGTTCGAGAATGTCATTGCCACATGTCTGAAAATTCTGTTGGACTACAAGAATTGTGGGAATGATGTTTTTCGATAGTGATAGGAATAGTATCGATATGCGAAAGAAGAGAAAGATCATGAGCTTGGGTAGCATTCTGGACAGATGATGATGCACGTACCGCTCTTAAGACCACAAAAGGAAATATCTCTTACCAATATGTCGTAGGAGCGCCTTGCCAATACTATGGTCAGAAAGATAGGCACTAGAGGAAGTCGGTCGTAAAGTAAAGAATTTAGTCCATTGTGCATTCCGAAACTGAGCGTGGAAAGGGAGTGCATGACGGGTTGATCTTTTCTGAGAAGGACGAGAAGGTGGTGAAGTATCATCAGGCAATTGTCATTGGCATTTAGGAGTGGGGCCGGAGTTGATCCGACGTGAAACGGGCTGGCGATTCGAAAATTGCTGCATCGTAAAGGGAGAGGCCGGAAGCATAGTCAAAGGAGAGCGGAGGTCAGACAAATCGAAGGAGTCAGTTGAAGCCCCGGTAACTGAAGTGGGTGAGGAAACCGCACCAGCAAGCGGTACAGGGGCATCAGGAGTGTCCGAAGAGTGGTCAAAAAACGAGGCAGGGTCAGAATGGGGTGCGGTATCAAAAAGGGGCCCGGGGGTAGGAGGTTCATGGATTAGGATCTCCATGGTTAGGTTACTTCTTGTCTTTTTGTTTAAAAAAAAAAAAAAAGGGGGGGGGGGGGGAGTGAGGAGGAATAGTTCCTAGGAGGAATGAAAGGGCCGGAAATCTCCCTTTGCACCCAAGAGGACCTCGGAACCGCAAGTAGCGTAGATGCAGCATGGAACCCGTGCCATACCCTACCCTTCATGCCAGTAAACCAGCAATCCGGGATAGCAAGCTCACATCTGCCGAGCTACCTCAGTGGACAAAAGAGAGGGCGGCCGGATATCTGCCACAAAGCATACCTCCTTCGGCCACTACCCCCCGGAATCCGAAAGGAAACTTCCAGAGATATACCTGTCGCCCGAAAGACACCCAAAGCCACCCTCCGGGATACCAGAGAGGGATTGGGACATCTCCAAGCGATCCAGATTCCACGGCAAACTACGCCACCTCCAAGAACCTCAACAGAATGGGATGGACCCCGGTACCCTTTCCCCTACCTAGGAACCAGTAGTCCTGTGGGAAGAATCCTACAGGCCAAAAAAAGAGGAAGGGAATAAGGTAGGGACAGGGAGGAGGAGGAGGAAATTATTATTATAATCAAAAAGAAGTGCTAAGCCACAAGGGCTGAGGAGGAAAGGGAAAAGGGAAGGTAGGGAGGATGGGATAGGGAAGGGGGGATAATTAGGTTCGGTCTGAGGAAGGAGACCATCAGGTCTAATTCCTCAGACCAAGATCCTCTTCACCACTCCAAGGAGCCCCCCTTGAAGACTGCTGCTAGGAGCCCCTATTAAAAGAGGCAGAAATGTTATAAATGGTGCAAAGGTGACATTAAAACAATATCAAATATGGTTGACACAAACTCCGTACCATTATAGTATACTCCTCACTTAGCAACGAATTCGTTTACCAACGTGGTCTTAGGAATGGAACTCCATTGAGGAGAGGCTGCAATTTGTTTACACTATAATTACACCTTGCCTAACAATATATGGTTAAAAGGATTAAATTAAAACACAAATCTAAATAATCATTATAGTAGCAACATTACAATTTGCAACATACCATTTCCACACATACTTCACTCAAAATAATTTTCTTTTAACAATACAGTATTTATATAATTATTTACAAATATAGAATTGGAAAGCGAAGACTTAATATGAATCACTCTGACAGTTATCAAGAAGCCATAATAAACAATCTGAATTTTTTTTTCCTAATTAGCCATAAAGAAAAATCTTTATTTCAGGCACTCAAATAAGACACTAATACACATTTTTGTCTCAAAGCTTATATCTGCAATATTCTGTGAAACTGTAAAAGCAACCTTCATTCACATAAGAAAATATAAAGCAGCATAAATCCATGATCACAAAAATAAATGAAAAACCCTGCAACTCAGTCTGTTTCCTTCTGTATAATCATCTTGAATAATGTGTCTCTTTGGGACTATTAAAAGACACCATTAAGCAAGATATCATGACAAAAATTACTGATGTGATGCCGTATCATGGTAAGCCATTCAGGTACCATCTTTGGGTGATGTATTTCAAAGATCCTTAACATGTCATTTTTAATGTCAAAATTGTATGACTTCACTCCTTAAAACTTATTTTTCAAATTTACAGTATATTTCTAAGTGGCACAATATTTATAATAAAAGATATAATTTCAAAACAATATTTGGTAATTGACAACTATACTTGCGCACCCTTTCTTCGACCAAAGAACTTAAATACAGAACCTTTTTTTTCTTTCTCTTTTTTGTTGGTAGAAACAGGTACATCTCCCTCAGAGGAGCTTTCACTAAGACCTTGACGATCGAAAGTTGCAGAATAGCGGTGGGAAGGTATGGGTCCACTACTAGTTGTAACGCTGACAGAGGAACCAGGAGGAAGACTACTACCCTGGGGCAGAGACATGGTGCGTGAAGAGTACTCTGAATATGGCTGTGGGATATAAAAATTATACATATAATAGTTGTAGACAACTAAATTAATATAGTAAAAATAATACCACACTTTAGTTACAGTAAATTTATCTTCATGGTAATTCACTCAAAAAGACAAATTTCTTTCTATACATGAAAAGCAGCTTACCTAGGGCATTATGGGCCAAGAAATATTATAATACATAAGTGTTCCCTAGAAATGCTACAATAGAAATATCATACAGATTATCAATATAATCAATAGTTGATACAAACAAATCATAATGCCATGCTGCATCACTAGTTAAACTGGTACTAAAACAATCTGGTTTCTTATTTAAAGCTATACTGGAAGTGGTACTGTACTTACTACAGTACTTTAGGAAGGATGAATTTATGCACAGTACAGTGGACCCTCTGTTATCGGCTGTAATCCGTTCCAGATGGCATGCCTAAACCCAAAGAGGCAGAAAGCCGAATATTTCTCATAAGATTATTTTTTTTTTATTAACACACTGGCCGATTCCCACCAAGGCATGGTGGCCCGAAAAAAGAAAGACTTTCACCATCATTCACTCCATCACTGTCTTGCCAGAAGGGTGCTTTACACTACAGTTTTTAAACTGCAACATTAACACCCCTCCTTCAGAGTGCAGGCACTGTACTTCCCATCTCCAGGACTCAAGTCCAGCCTGCCGGTTTCCCTGAACCCCTTCATAAATGTTACTTTGCTCACACTCCAACAGCACGTCAAGTATTAAAACCATTTGTCTCCATTCACTCCTATCAAACACGCTCACGCATGCCTGCTGGAAGTCCAAGCCCCTCACACACAAAACTTCCTTTACCCCCTCCCTCCAACATTTCCTAGGTCGACCCCTACCCTGCCTTCCTTCCACTACAGACTGATACACTCTTGAAGTTATTCTGTTTCGCTCCATTCTCTCTACATGTCCGAACCACCTCAACAACCCTTCCTCAGCCCTCTAGACAACACTTTTGGTAATCCCGCACCTCCTCCTAACTTCCAAACTACGAATTCTCTGCATTATATTCACACCACACATTGCCCTCGGACATAACATCTCCACTGCTTCCAGCCTTCTCCTCGCTGCAACATTCATCACCCATGCTTCACACCCATATAAGAGCATTGGTAAAACTATACTCTCATACATTCCCCTTTTTGCCTCCAAGGACAAAGTTCTTTGTCTCCACAGACTCCTAAGTGCACCGCTCACCCTTTTCCCCTCATCAATTCTATGATTCGCCTCATCTTTCATAGACCCATCCGCTGACACGTCCACTCCCAAATACCTGAATACATTCACTTCCTCCATACTCTCCCTCCAATCTGATATCCAATCTTTCATCACCTAATCTTTTTGTTATCCTCATAACCTTACTCTTTCCTGTATTCATAAGAATTAATGTAAATACAATTAATCCGTTCTAGACACCCAAAAATATTAAAAAAAAAAAATACATTTTTTAAAAATTAACTATAGTTTTACATACACAAAACAATGAGAGAAATATAAAGCACAAATTTTAATGATAAATGAACATTACATACCTTTAATGAAGACTTGTTGGCGTATTGAAGTAGGTAAGGAGGGGTGAGGGCGTTGGGAATCCCCCTCCATAAGGACTTCAGATATCAAAACCCTCTCTAGAATTACTTCCCTTCTTTGACATTTACTGCCATAGTACATTCATTACCTACCTCAAAATATTTGTAGTCTTAATGTAGAGCGAGAGGCAAGTAGTATTTATTTGCAGGAAGTCAGTGTAGGCAGTGGTAGATGTAGGAACACTATGTAGAGCACCCCTGGGCTACACTACACAGCCATATTATTACATCGACATACCACGTTCAATGAGTTCAATAATTTCTAACAACTACCTTTAGATGCCACCATAAACAAAGGGAGAAGTAATGAATAATTTATGCCGAGAATTGTAAACAAACTCGTATGAAGAGCGGTGACTGGGCCAGACACCAGATTCACTGTTTTCGCTAACGCTGAATCAGAGAAAACATAATTTTACCCTCCACCCTCCTTGATTCACCGGCACTCACCACTAGATAGTATATAAACACTTCATAGTTATATGTTGTGTTTATATGCTATATGCTATGTAATGTGTTTCTTATATAATTTTGAAGAAAACAGCATAGATGGATTAATGAAAATGTCTATATTAACCTTAAATAAGATATTTAATGTGTCCGAGTGAGATTATTATTACATGTCAATAACTCTGATTTCCGAGTTGCCAACCGAAATCCAGGACAGAATTTCGGCCAAAAAAAGCAGTCTAAATCTGATTTGGCCAATATCCGGAACGGCCGATATCCGAGAGTCCACTTTACTTCAAATAAGACAGACTATCAACAACAAAATGTGGAATTAAAAGTTTCCCTGCAAAATGTGATCTCTCACTCTACAACCACTCGCATAATAGAACCACATTCTACAATCTTCCAAAGATGCAAGCACCCTACACCTATCCACATCATGCCACCACACACTACAACCTTCTATAACAAGTTACCATATGCTACAACCTTCTGTATATTTTACAATCCTCCACAATTTGCTTCCCTGCATATTTACCCTTCACACAAATTCTCTGTACTACATTTAAGATCTATTCAAGTGGAACACTGGTTTTCGTCCTTAAACCATTCCAGAAGGTCGGTCGAGATCCAAAATGGACAAAAACCAAAGTAATATATCCCATAAGAAATAACGTAAATCCAATTAATCCATTCCAGACACCCAAAAATATTAAAAACAAAAAAAATTCATTTTCTAGAGGATAACTATAGTTTTACATACAGAAAACAATGAGAAATTAATATAAATGACTAATTGTAATGGATAAATGAACATTTAAATCACTAATACATACCTTTATTGAAGACTTGTTGGCATATGGAAGAAGGCAAGGAGGGGAAAGGGAGGAGAGGGTATTGTTTGGAAGGGGAATCCTCCTCCTTATATAAGGACCTCAGGTATCAAAGCCCTACCTAGGGTTACTTCCCTTTGTCATTTACTGGCACTAGGACCAGCTCAAGTCACTGGACCCGTCGCACAAAAAATCTGTCCAGAGACCTTTGTTTCTGGCGTCTCTCAGATTTGCCTAAAATGGGACAAAGCATTGTCATTGTCCCGGGCGGGTGGACGCATCTGATACGGACGATTTCCAAGCGGAGGTACGAAACCCGGGGTAAAATTTCACCCAGAAAAGTGGTCAAAATCTGAATTGTATGATATCTGCACCATACAAAATCCGGGGTTCCACTGTAGTTTGCTTATAGGTGGCAATGCTAACACTTTCAACGTTTTATTTGTCCCCACACTGTCGCCGCCTCTTGTAGTGTCTAGTGTCTTCACCAGACAATATGTACTTACATTTTTTCACTCTAAAATTAAGGGAAGTTTAAAGATGCATTTTTCCGTGATTGGGAAATATGCAAAATCTACTTTTACAATGTGTTCCTACATACTGTATAATTTTAAATAAATCATTACCTGTCGGCTGCCTGGAACACCATCAGTTATGTCTGGTTGATGTGTAGAACCTGGAAATAACATCAGATTCATTATGCTGATACCAGGCAAATAACATCAACTTGAATCAAGTTTCACATAAATATATCATTACAGGCACAATGAAGTAAAAGAAGACTGAGCAGCTGCACAAGAATACACTCCTATTCACATCAGAATGCATGCAAACATACCAGTATAATTACAAAACTAGAAGATGTTACCGTATAAGAACATTTTGCAGTGAAAAGAAACCTCAACAAAAAAGCATTAGGCAAAAACCTCTAAAACTACAGGATGAATCAATAAAAGAATACAAACAACCCAAAATACTAAATGACAGATGAAACAAGGAAGGAAAAAGGCCCAAATTCCTCACAGAATGCCAGCATACCTTACTAACTTCAAAACATGTGATATCAGACGCAAGAACAGACAGGCAAGAGGGTTGGGAGGACTGTATATTCTTAAAACTAAAAAGACTTTTGATATGGAGTCACATAGGGATCTACTTATATACTGATGAAGCAAAGTGAGATAAAGCTATTAACATGGATATGGGGAGTTCCACAAGGCTGAGTGTTGCAACTCATACCATTTCTGTTGCATTAAAATAACCCGGTTACAAAAGATAACTACTGCATACTGTTTGCAGACTATGCTAATGAAGTAAATACAAACTGAAAAGGATGAAACAAAGACATCAGCATTAGTTCCGTGGATAAATATGCATTGGAATTTAACCATAGTAAATGTAGTTGTAAAGCTGGAGAAAGGGAAAGAATGCCAAAAACAGTACCAACTAGAGAAACTCAAAAACAGTTAAGAGATCTTAAAATTAACATTACCCTGAACCTCTATCTTGCAGCACATAAAACAATACTAGCAGTATGAGCTAAATTTGTAAATGAAAGGATGATATTCAGGAACTCAGACTAAAAACACACACTTTTTCAACACACCAGTCGTATCCCACCAAGGCAGGGTGACACACCATCCTTCATTATTTAATCATTCTCCTTCATTATTTAATACGCAGTGCCAATGTGGGACTCTTGTTTGCACTTTCTCAAGTGTAAACGAGAGTATAAGGCTGGTGAGTGAGCCGTCAAGAAAGAATGCAAGACCTAAGCTGAATGTCACTGGAGAACAAAGGCAGAGGGGATATGATTAGGACAAAATACTATGGGGCATAGACAGGCTGGCAAAGAAGTTTGTTACCAAGGAAGCAACAAGAATTAAATGGGCAAGGATGGAAGCTACACAGCTAGTTATATCCACAAGTATATAGAAAACATGTTCCTCAGAGCAAGAGTGAACAAACAGAATGAGATGAGCAGTAAAATTATATTACATTTAAGGCAAGTGCTAAACCTGAAGGGGGTCAAAGAGTGCCTGGGGAATGGGAGGCAATTACGTTCAATCCAAGCATAAGGCAGGAAAGTTTAATTTCTTGGAGCAACACCCTCCCCCCACACACCAGGAGCCTCTCTTGAGGCTAGTGGTAAAACCAAACTCATTTAGAGGTTAAAATATAGACCTGCCAGGGTTGAATAGTCAGTTCACCAAGAGTTAAGAGGCTTGATTAACAGATGGAGCTTACTCTTCACAAACTCAAACATAATGCAATTACAAATATGTAATAACACTCATGCCCCAAAACATCCCGCCTCCTTGAGCACCTGCCCTCCTTCATATTCTTACTCACATTTATACTTAATTATATTAAAGATAATGTATAATGTACCGAATACAATATTTTTATTCAAATCACAAAATTTTATGAAGAAATTTCACATACTGTATTATTTCTAGCTTCATATATTAAGCAACAATAAAAATCACATGCAGCATTCACTACAACATAAGCATATGACATTCTAGAAGCATAACATTCAAACAAAGTACCTTGCAGCTATATAAAAATGACAGCCTAAAGGAGGAGGATGCAGTGACTGACCCTGTGAGGTGTACGCATACTGGTGATGAGAAACACGTGACACCTGGGAGAAGTGGGGCCCTTGACCCGTGTTGTGCTGGGCTACCTGATGGTGATGGCTAACCATATGACCCATCTGCTGCCCGTAGTGAGGACCACCCCCATGGTGAGGCATGCTGGGCTGTTGTAACCCACCCACCCACGTCTGCTCAGCATACCTGGCCCGACTGGGTGGTACAGGGGGCCGGGCCATGACCAGTGGTGGGGCTGATCTAGGCAGTGGGGGTAAGTCTGCAGAGAAGCCACCAACTCAACATACACAACCACAGTGAATACTATATGTGGAAAACAGGCACATAACAAATATACACATCAAAAACTAATAAAAGCCACAAACATAAGCACATCAAGGCATAAGAAATGTTAAGAGCCAGAGATTTTTAAGATATCTAATTCAAGGAATACTTTACAAAGAAAGTTTTAAACATTATCCTTTAGTTCCATTTCAAATTTATGTAAATGCTGACAAATTTAAACCAATTTAAAGACTGAGGGTTCCTTCTTTAGGTCTGGATAATCAAGTAACTGCAAAACAGTTCAAGTTTTAGTCTGCCCAGTTATTCTTTAATATGAAATTACCTTTCTACAGTTTAATAACTATTAACATTATTTAATAAATTTAGCATTTTTTTAATGACAAAGCTAGTGCTTCCAGAAACTGCTCATCGAAAATATTCAAAATTATTGCAAAACTACAATTATAATAAACCCTCTTATAAAGAAACTTCACGTGTTATTTTTGTGTAAATGAAACTGAAAACTGTGCATCCAAAATTTCATAGTGCACTCTGAAGAGCCTTGATAATACATATGCACTATAAATCTAAAAAAAAAAAAAATCAAGAAATCATGCATAATTTAAATACCCACTGCAGAGTTTCTCAAGGGCCATGAGCAGTGCCCACCCAATCTCTCACCATTCTTGCTAAGCAAGCAAGTCATATCCATTAAACAGCATTTTTCTTAATATTTTCCAAAACCATGTAACCCAGGAATGCTTAATTTTTCTGAAACACTATTAATTTAAGAAAAACATTCTAAGCAGACCCCATATCTGAAACTTGTCTACAGGGTCCAAGAATTTAAAAACTTATTTTTTTCTCATGAAAGGGTAGAATCTTTTTCTAAAGGTAATAAAACAAACCTAGGTAGTAGGTTAGTAGACAGCAACCACCCACGGAGGTACTACCGTCTTGCCAAGTGAGTAAAACAAAAGCCTGTAAATGTTTTACATGATGGTAGGATTGCTGGTGTCTTTTTTCTGTCATAAACATGCAAGATTTCAGGTACATCTTACTACTTCTACCTACACTTAGGTCACACTACACATGCATGTACAAGCATATATATATATACACACACACCCCTCTGGGTTTTCTATTTTCTTAGTTGTTGTTGGTCTTTATTTCATCTTATCTCCATGAGGAAATGGAACAAATTCTTCCTACATAAACCATGCATGTCGTAAGAGGCGACTAAAATGCCAGGAGCAAGGGGCTAGTAATCCCTTCTCATGTATACATTACTAAAGTTAAAAGAGAAACTTTCGTTTTCCTTTTTGGGCCACCCTGCCTCGGTGGGATACGGCAAGTTTGTTGAAAGAAAGAAAAATAAAACAAAACAAAGTACAAAGTTTGATGGAAAATTGACAAAATTACACTATTGTGAATTATGCTGTATCAGCGACATTTACACATCGGCGATTTTGCCCACTTTGACTCCTATTTTAGGCCAATTATGTTGTTCCAGTTGACAAAATTCTTAGCTATTTCACTAGAATGCCTTCCATTTAATTGAGTGAGCACAAGAAACCAGCCAATTAAGCATTTCAACTACCCATTAAAGTGATCAGAAATTAGTAATTTGGCAAATTTCAAAATAATCTAATTACAAAATTGGGTCCAGAATAAACCATGTAGGCATTCCTGTCACTAAAATCACATTTCCTCTGTTCATTAGTTATGTTCCCAGGTTTTACATATGAATTCCATTTTGATTTTTCATTCTCACAATTTTTATTAACACAACAAAATAGAAGATTTACTATTATGCAATATTTTTTTTTCCAACAAGTCGGCCGTCTCCCACCAAGGCAGGGTGACCCAAAAAGAAAAAAATCCCCAAAAAGAAAATACTTTCATCATCAATCAACACTTTCACCTCACTCACACATAATCACTGTTTTCGCAGAGGTGCCCAGAATACAACAGTTTAGAAGCATATACATATAAAGATATACAACATATCCCTCCAAACTATCAATATCCCAAACCCCTCCTTTAAAGTGCAGGCAATGTACTTCCCATTTCAGGATAAGTTCCGGCTAATAAAAATTAACAGTTTTCCTGAATCCCTTCATAAATATACTCCTGCTGCACAATCCAACAGCTCGTCAGGTCCCAAATACCATTCGTCTCCATTCGCTCCTATCTAACACGCTCACACACGCTTGCTGAAGGTCCAAGCCCCTCGCCCACAAAACCTCCTTTACCCCCTCCCTCCAACCTTTTCGAGGACGACCCCTACCCTGCCTTCCTTCCCCTACAGATTTATACGCTCTCCATGTCATTCTACTTTGATCCATTCTCTCTAAATGACCAAACCACCTCAACAACCCCTCTTCAGCCTTCTGACTAATACTTTTATTAACACCACACCTTCTCCTAATTTCCACACTCCGAATTCTCTGCATAATATTTACACCACACATTGCCCTTAGAAAGGACATCTCCACTGCCTCCCACCATCTCCTTGCTGCAGCATTTACAACCCAAGCTTCACACCCATATAAGTGTGTTGGTACCACTATACTTTCATACATTCTCTTCTTTGCCTCCATAAATAACGTTTTTTGTCTCCACATATACCTCAAAGCACCACTCGCCTTTTTTTTCCTTCATCAGTTCTGTGGTTAACCTCATCCTTCATAAATCCATCCGCTGACACGTCAACTCCCAAATATTTGAAAACATTCACTTCTTCCATACTTCTCTCCAATCTGATATCCAATTTTTATCTAAATCATTTGATACCCTCATCACCTTACTCTCTTCTATGTTCACTTTCAACTTTCTACCTTTACACACACTCCCAAACTTGTCCACTAACCTTTGCAACTTTTCTTTAGAATCTCCCATAAGCACAGTATCATCAGCAAAAAGTAACCGTCAATTCCCATTTTGTATTTGATTCCCTATAATTTAATCCCACCCCTCTCCCGAACGCCCTAGCATTTACTTCTTTTACAACCCCATCTATAAATATATTAAACAACCATGGTGACATTGCACATCCCTGTCTAAGACCTACTTTTGCCGGGAAGTAGTCTCCCTTTCTTCTATACACCCTAACCTGAGCCTCACTATCGTCATAAAAACTCTTTACAGCATTTAGTAACTTACTACCTATTCCACATACATGCAACATCTGCTACATTGCTCCCCTATCCACTATCATATGCCTTTTCTAAATCCATAAATGCAATGAAAACTTCTCTACCTTTATCTTAATACTGTTCACGTATATGCTTCAATGTAAAAGACAATCTACACACCCCCTACCCACACTAAAACCTCCTTGCTCATCTGCAATCCTACATTCTGTCTTACCTCTAATTCTTTCAATAATAACCCTTCCATACACTTTTCCTGGTATACTCAGTAAACTTATTCCTCTATAATTTTTACAATCTCTTTTGTCCTCCTTCCCTTTATATAAAGGAATTAATTATACATGCTCTGTGCCAATCCCTAGGTACCTTCCCCTCTTTCATACATTTATTAAACAAAAATACCAACCACTCCAACACTAAATCCTCCCTTGGTTTTAACATTTCTGTCATGATCCCGTAAGTTTCAGCTGCTTTACCCTCTTTCATTCTACGTAATGCCTCGTGCACCTCCCTCACACTAACATCCTGCTCTTGTTCACTCCTAAAAGATGGTATACCTCCCTGGCCAGTGCATAAAATTACCGCCTCCCTTTCTTCGTCGACATTTAAAAGTTCCTCAAAATATTCCCGCCATCTACATAATACCTCCATTTCCTATCTACTAACTCCCCTACTCTATTTTTAACTGACAAATCCATTCGTTCCCTAGGCTTTCTTAACTTGTTTTACATGATGGTAGGATTGCTGGTGTCTTTTGTCTGTCTCACACATGCAAGACTGCAGGTATGTCTTGCTACTTCTACTTACAACTTAGGTCACACTACACATGCACGTACACGTTTATTTATACACACTCATCCGAGTTTTCGTTGATTTTATCTTAATAGTTCTTGTTCTTATTACTTTTCCTTTTATACCCATGGGGAAGTGGAATAAGAATCTTTCCTCCGTAAGCCATGCGTGTTGTAAAAGTCGACTAAAATGCTGGGAACAATGGGCCAGTAACCCCTTTTCCTGTAAAGCCTACTAAAAAAAAAAGAATAAGTGCATTTGTGAACATATATTAGACCCACCAATTGACATGAATTGGACATGTATTCTGACTTTTTTTTTACTCTTGAACATCAGCAAAAATCAAACAGTTCCACTACTTTGAGCTCAATTTCAAGATATTTTGAGTCCTCAAAACAATAAAAAATCACGTCTATTTCTGTAATATATCTTCCGCTATTAAATGAGACCAAGAAACCGAGAATACAACCATAAAAACAATACAAAAATACACCACAAAGTTGCTGTTTTAAATAAAAAAAAAAACACTCGCAGTTTTTTTCCATTACGCACTGTGTGCTGCAAGATTTATTTTGTGGTGCGCACTTACTGCATTGCTCCATGCTATTCACATTTAGTCCCAAGTTCACCATTCACAGCTTAAGCTTATCTGAGCGAGTTGAGCTCATCACGTAGTACTACGTAATGGACCCTGACTTCAAAGCCATAGAACTATGGCACGGACCCTGAAAGGGTCAACAAAAAAATCTCCAATAGTTCATTGGCAGAATTTACCCAGATTATTAACTCCAGTTAGTAACCTTTACCCTAAGTACACATTCATGTGCCTTTCAATGATGTATACACTGGCTGTATTTCTATAATGGTTGAATGTGTTGGCGAGATTATATATACAATATAAAATATGAGCAAGGATATCAGTGAGAAAGTTGTAGTGGAGAACAGTATGCATTCACTTCGCAATATGTAAAGTAAAAGGACACAAGTGCAACTAATGTGACATTTTATTGTGGCAACGTTTCGCTCTCCAGGAGCTTTATCAAGCCAT